CTTAATTTCTTCGATCTCACCAACTTACATCACAACATCAAAATCACACATCTAATTATTTATCAATTACATAAACATTACATCATTAATTATTTAATTAACCAAAAAAATTACATCTTTATTAACAACAAATTAATTCTTAAACAAAACTATTAAATATAAACTAGGCAAACGTGCATTGCACGTTGCTTGCACCTAGTTACCTAAAATGCAATTAAATAAAAGTAAATAATTGGGTCAATGCTATAAAATAAGTATATTCTTGGGGGTTTAAAAATACGTAATCAGCCAACTTGTAATAAATAAGATAAATTCCACCGTAATTAGATGTGTTAAATGATCAGCCATGAAGAAAATGGTCGATAAACTTAAACTCAACATACTTACCTTTCTTTCTATCTTATTGAATAACTCGAACTTATAGTTTAATTAGTTAAAATGTGGTGCTATGATCATAGCAGTTGAAATGGCATAAAATCAACTTGAGTTTGTTCAATATTTAAATCAACGGACGGCATGTTTTCTGAAAATGAAACAAATAGCTAGCACGCCTGTTGATAGGGATGCAATTAGGTTTTTGTAAAATTTTAAAATTTCCACTTGAATGATTTAAAAAATAAAAGAATTTTGTGACATCAACTCATTTCTGCACATAAAAAAATTGTACAATTTGGAATACTGGTTTTAGTAGTTAAATTTTTTGATCGTACGTATATGTTCTTGAATAAGATGTCCTAATTGTTAGTCTGATCGAGTTGAGATTTGAATTATCCCGTATCGGCAATTGTGAATGATATGGAGGTTAGAACTTTTCCGTCACACAAATAACACATGGGCTACCTTTCTTACCATTATGGCGGGCGAGCACAACATCAATTCAAATAGAATTTGTTGATTTTATGTTGAGTTTCCACATTCTAAGGCGCTCCACTTTCTTTTTTCATTAAAGTCGAACTTAAATATGTGCTCGAGAGATAACTGCTCATACAATCTTCATTACTTTCAATTTATTTCCAATAAAAATTAAGAGATTATTTAATTGACAATGAAAATAGAAGGTCTTACTCTTATTAAGGTTTTAGAAAATTGTGTGTCATACAATTATCTTATGAATAATTTTGTCAGATCATAGTATTCAATGTTTGGTTGATTTGATGTATTCTTGGAACATTAGGAGTGGGAGGAGAGATGACGTGTAGTCCATTATTACGTTGAGAATCTCTTCAATAAAATAACTCATTTTGTAATTCTATATACTGCGTTCATGCACCAACCTTCCAAGCGTTTAGTTCTATGTTTTCAAAAGTTTTTATGCAGAAGTCACAGTTTTTATTTTGCAATATTAATGAGGTAAAAAATTTCTTTAAATCACTCAGCGATCTTTTCGAGAATAGTGACACGAAAAATTAGTGAAGCAATGAAATTTCCTTAGTGATTGCGAATGGTATTATTTTCGATGATTCTTCTAGAAATCAATATCAGTCAGTGGCAAATTAACGACTGTGATACTATCAGTGATTACTGATGTACATCCGCCATCGATTACTAATGGTAATATTGTCGCCATCGACTACGGATGATACTTTTGCTGATCGTTGACAAGTACAGCGATTACCAATGTAAAAAAAAAAACCATTATTACTCTTGTAATTGTTATTTTACAAAGTGTGAACACTATATTTTAATAAAAATAAAACTATACAATATTCTTGAAGTAAAGTTTGTTCTCACGAAGTCGATTTATTTAGTACTGTACTGTCGCAATCCCACGTTAACGAAAGTAAAATCTTGTGTTTACTTCCAAGATTGAATCAAGGAATTGTACATGTGATTTGGCTGGCTAACCTGCAAATAATATGTTTAAATTTATAGTTAGTTGTTACAATGAAATGACACATTATTAGGGTACTGCTCATCAAACAACCAACAAACCGAAGTAAGACAAAAGTCGCATTTTATAATCCTAAACACGACAATGGGAGCTCTAAATGGTCTTGTTTTTCCCATTGTCTGCATTAAGATTGATGACACGTTAAAGGGTTTTTAGTTTATAAAAAGACATTAGTAGAAAAAAGCACTGTTTTAGTGATTACTTAATTCGTTAATAAGAACTCTTGGCCTTTACCTACTGTCATGTGTTGCCAACCCTTTAAATTAAGGTTAATGGAATGATTAATTAATATTAAACTGACGTTAGGACCACTGCCACCATCCTTTTTTATCATTTATTATTATGTTATTGTCGATTTATACTTTCACATTAATTTGAGTACTCGAGTTGAAAATGTTGACATCGAGTATCGGTAGGCTTTTTTTCCTTTGGTGAACATGAATTAGAGAAATGTTGACATTGAATATCTACTAACATTTCTATAAAACATCATATACCTAAGAAATTTCAGACAATTGAAACCCAATTGAGACAAATTAAAATTTAGTGACACAGTTCAGAAGTCCTAAATTCCAAAATAGCAGCAGACGAAGTCAATAATAGTAAACGATAACGATGAAAACAAATGGTCGTTACATATAGTATGTGAAGGTGTACCATCATAGATTATGAGACGACGATTCGTCATTTCAACACGAACAACTTACATCTCAAAATAAGGAATTTTACAAAATACTCTTTTCTCGTGATATCATATGCTGGGCATCATTTCGTAGAATTTACATTGGAAAGATCCTTAACCTTAAGAGAACCTTGAATGTCGTCCACTGCAGCTATGGCTGAATCTCTCCTGGTTACGATTTTCTCAAGATCCTCGACGTTCTCTGACAAAATGCTAACACGAGAATTGGAAGATTCAATCAATTTGTTTGCAGTTTCCATAGCAGAGCACAGCTACAATCGAGAAAAGAAAAATTTGAACTGTTAGTGAATTTAGCTTCACTGTGAGAGGGGAAGTTCAGTCACTACTCTTATGGTCTAAGTTCTGAATAAATCAAGACATAAATTATGTCCATTTTGTTTTATAAACAATGGTACGCAGGATTACTTCAGCCTAAAAGGATCCGTGAGTATTACACATTTAAAGTGGGCCATGGCAGATCGACACAGCCTACATTATACTTTTTGACGGAAAAGTAAAAACGAAAAAAAAAACCCACCAAAGCCCAAAACTTTTGGCTCCGGCAGTGGGCAGTGGGGGCATGCTAGGTCTGTAAGGACAGTGGTTGAGGCAGCAGTTTACACCTCTAGCGAGGATGATAATCCACGTTTAAAAAATAAGTAAAGATTGTGCGACTAATTCGATAATTAGTAATCCTATAAATGTGGGAAAAACAAGATGAAGAAAGAAAAACAAAGATAACAACAGGAAGATGAAGGTCAAAATCTTGAAGGCACACGATAACACTCTGGCTTCAAACTTCCTGAAGATAATATAGTGCTAATACTCATCAAAACATTTAGCGTTTGTTTGGCACAACTTATTTGAAAATCATTTTTCTCATTTTCAATCACACATTCTCCAAATGAAATAATTGTGCACATGAACCCATAACTTTTCCCTAATTTTTAACAATACATTTTTCAAAAAAAAAATTAAAAAAAAAATTCCATTTTCACTTCAAATAATCTCTCCCAAACAAACACTGAGATAAATGGAGGAAAAGAAGAAAGTACAATTATGAATATGTTGTGCCAGAACAATTAACAAAGAGAAAATAATAGTACCTTAAGCGTAAGTGCTGTCCATGAGTGATCTTCACCGTCAAATGCTGCTTTCAATTGGTCAAAGTTTTCCTAGAAAAGCAATAAATCTCTTAGTTATTGAGAAATATGTGCTTTATCCGAAAAAAATTATCTACATGCCAGGCCAGGAGAAAGAACAAAGTCTTCCTAGGATTATTATAACCAACGATTTAATCGCAAGGGTGATCATGAAATCCTTCCTTGCCTGAAATGGCGTAAACCCCTTTGCCCACTACCTGTGACTTCAAAAACTACAGTTTCCCTGAAGAAGGGGCTAATTATATACATATACATTATTATCTAATGACATTTTACTTTTTCAGTACTCATTTAATGATTTCTTAATCCATCCATTTCCATGGCAAAAAGGAAGGCCAATCCTACCTATTTAGGCAGTTACAACCGATTTCGGCTGCTTCGACTACAAAGAACTCTTGGGTAACAAGTTCAGGTTACAGAACCAAGGACATAACTGTCTCTATCATAGAGCAGTTAGTTTCTTCACGTGCAAAACACGTGATTGGTCACGTAATGACTATTAATGTAACTATTCCTAAGGACAGTGAAATGAAACATTATCTTACGAGAAAAAGAGAGAGAAGCAGCAGTGGACAATATTATTTGCTGAATCTTCACAAGACTACCTAAGTTGCAGAAGACAAAAGGGAACACATAATTATCAGAAGACTACCTAAACTATGGAAGCGTACATCATTTCTCATTCCCTGTCAATTACAACACTGTTAGGCCTTTTAAGGAAAAACGTTGTGCTTCCACTCTTCATAATTTTAAATTTGGTCACGAAATATGGGGAGCACTTGTCGCTTGTGTGCGCAAGAACCAAATTTAATACCAAACTTAACTGAAACCAAACACAGATTCTAGTTTTCATTCAGATTTTCCTATTCGCAATCCTTTCAGTTTATCCGAATAAAAAAGTTTATTTTTGGTACAGAATTTTGGTTCTGAACCAAATGGAATTAAACAGAATCCATAGTATGTGAAAATTACTAAACTACTGCCAAAGATATTGCTACTTAAAATAAAACATGTCATTTCCTTTCTCTTTCCCATTTAGTTTATCACAGTACTAATCAAAATTTCCCTTTCTTATCACCACCTTCCTCCCCGTTTTGGTAATGTTTGCAAGGCTAGACATTGAAATATTCAACTTCAGACAACATGGAGCATAAAAATCCATTATAACATATTAACATGTAACACCAAAGTTTCCAAGTGTGAGATTGCGGAGGCCATGTCTGAAGGACGAATGTGGGTCCTAATATTTTGATGAGATCAAGTGTAGAGTAGTGTAGTGCATTATAAAATATAAATGTAGAAACTGGAGACTGGAGGCATTAATCTCTTAAATTGGATTTCAGTCTCTCTCTCTCTTTGCAACAACATGGACATTGTGATTCTGTATTTGGTTGATACCACTTTAGATTACTTGAGTTTTCTATTTTGAAGTTCAGACTAATAAAATCTTGACCTTTCTAATCCAGCAGATTGCACTCTCACGAATTATCTCTTTCACACCACATTCAATTCAAGTTTGCTTATTTGTTTTATTGCATATCAGTTTCCCTCCAAGATAGTACACTAACCCCGGAATATGCAAAATAACATCTCTTTTTAATTTAATTGATAGAAAAGTAAGATAATTAATTCCCATATTTTCACCAAAGGATTAGCTCATAAAAATATCACAAGATTGAGAATTAATGCATATACTACCGGGCTATTATTTTTAAAAATCCAAAAACTATACAATTGCTTAATTCTATACCACAATAAAGTGAATTATTTCAATTCTGAAAAAAAAAAAAAAAATCCCTGGGGGAATACCTGGAAGAGCTTGGGAAGATCAGAAGGCTGCAGATTCGAAGTGTCAGCCGCAGCAGGCGGCGGAGTAGGGTGGTCGTGTGGTACACCAGAATCCCCCTCTCCGACATCGTTCAGCAGATCGCCTATACACAATAAGGGCCCGCCCACTCCCCTCATCTCTCTCTCTCTCTCTCTCATCCGATCCCGCCGAATATATGGGCTATTTTTTGAGGCCCGTCTAGTAATGGACCGATCAGGCCCTGTCCTAAACTGGATATATTTTTATGGAAAAATTTATAAATAAGGTGTTTAGTTTACACCAATTCAAAAATCATAATTATAGTTTGAAAATTCAAAAATCAGGTTTTTTTTTAATTCTAATATAATA